AGGAGCAGATTCTTAAAGTGGGAGTGGACATCCTTAAGGAAAGTGACAACGTAAGATCATTCTTAACTTTAAAGGGTCACATTCTGTGTCAGAAGCAGAGAGCCTTTCTTGGGGATCCCTCTGCTAAGCTAAAAATGGTATCTGTGCCAGAGTGTGTGTTGAGAATGCCCTTGACCATGGCTAAGATTCTTTTGCCACAAATCACTCCTTTCCCTGGTTGTATGAATAGTGAAATTCCTGTGGAGCAAGCATTTCTTGAATAGTGCATAGACTTGAGGGAGGTGGCTGCGGCATAAAGCCCTGGTGGGAATATTTGTTTGCACAACATCATTTGGGAAGAATTAAATGTGAGCAGGGATCAGAAAAAGAGACAAAAATTATTTAAGGAGTTGCAGTCCCAAAGAAGCTCAAACTCAAGATGGAGACTGATTCATAGCTCCCTAAAATTGTCTGTAAAGGCAAGGCAGGCTTCTGACAATCGTCAGCTGACTCTTAATCTAGCAGAAAGTATGACAAGATCCAGGGTCTAGGCAGTACAGCAAGACATTTAAACCAGAACAGAGGCATCACCACTTAGAGTTAAGATAAATAGCCATCAGGCCAGTGTGCCGATTGTGCGCCACTAACTTGGGTTCAGAGGACTTTCTAGATGAGCCTCAATGGTTCGAACAAAGGAAAGGCTTGATTAAAGAATTGCTGTGTGACACTGCAGCTTCTGCTTTCTGGGTCAGACCAGATGACCTACTGGCTTGGAACAATTTATTTAGCTGTTTTTTACAGTGTTTACAAGGAGCACCTGGGTGCAGCCAGGGTTTGTAGCCTTGCCTCATGCTGTGAGTGCGGGCAGTAGCTCTGCTGCCTGCCCTCACCCTCAGCAGAGCCATTCAAAAACTGGATATGTTTTTTCTTCTCTCATAGAAGTATTGCTTTGAATGCAGAAGGAATGTTTTTCTTCCCTTCTCCTCGCTGCCCTCCATTATGGAAGGAGCCAGGAAATGTTTGTCTGATCTGCAATGGGATAGGAATCGGTTACCAAATGCTTCATCTGAAGAGCAGCGAAAGGCTAGTCTGAGTGTTGCTGTTCCTGTGCTCAGCCCAGTGCTTGTCCAAGGTGCTCTCAGGCCTCTTACAGCAAACTTCTGCTTTCTGTAACTCCATAGAGACTGGTTTCAGCCATCACAGAATTACTGCTTTGCCCCTGTTCTCTCCCTCATACACGTGCATGCAATTTCTCTCCCATTTCCAGTTTATCTTTTGGAAGCAACCCCTTGATCTCCTTTGTCAAATGGCTGTAAGGGGGTGCTGCTGCTTGCTTGTTGAGAAGCTTTGGACTGCTTGGGAATCTGATTCCGGCATTGCCAGTGTGATACTGAAGAAACCCAAACAGCGGCTTCTTTTTCCCTCAGGAAATTAAGAGGCAGAGTAGTCTGCCAGTGACTATAGTTTTAATGTTGTCATATTGTAATGAACTTGATGAGAGCAGGTGTTTATTCATGTGGCCGGTGGCTAGTATGTTAGCTGCTGTTTGATTTCACATGTCGTAATGGCAGGGGGGGATAGAGGAGCTGCTGCTGCACAAGAGAAGCTGCTGCTGCACTGTTAATTTGGGCAATGGTGGCAGAGCAATTTTTGTTGGGTTTGTCCCTCGTGCTTTTCACCCTTCAGTTGAGGCACAGTTGAGATGGCACATCCTTCACCCCTGAAAAATAGGAACAGTGTTCTCCTGCACGATCAGGGATTCGGGTGCTTGCAGGGCTTTAAACTGCAGTTTGGAAGGTGCAGATGTTCATGGGGAATCTGTTGGAAGACCTCAAACGATTTGCAGGTTTTATTTCTCCGATTCCCTATTATTTAACTTAAAATGTTCTGCTGTTGGACATGTGTATGTTAATTTGAGATGTGAAACTCTATCTGTCATTTGCCTTTCCAGCTGCAGCTTGGTTAGCAATCACGTTTATTTTGTATATAAAATTGATAATGTGTTTTCTCTGACACAGTGTTTTAGAAGACAGAGCCAAAAAAAGTCAAACACACTTTTTCTAAAATGTATCTTGGTACAGACCAAATTAACTCAATAATTGAAGATTAGATCTGTGCAGTAAACAGGTGTCACTTTTACACGGTTACTCTTCTGATTGTAACAGTATTTAAAAATCTTGCTACTACGCGATTTGGATTAGAATGAGGTTGAATTTCAGGTAGAAGATTTAAAAGGGATTTGGAAGCAAAAACTCAAACCTAAGATCATTGGAAACTCATTGGAAAAATTTAAAGTAAACCCCTCAATTTTCAAGATTCCTTACTGTAGGTGCTCTGGAATAGTTGATGCTTTTTACAGAGTTTGTGTTTACACAGTGTTTAGAAATGGTACTGGATCAGCTATTGCTTTTACATTTTTTCAATGCTATACCAGTGCTACGTAACTGATGAAAAGTATACCAGGTTTTTTTTCGCAGCCTTTAAGCTGCAAACTCTAGGCTGTAGGCCACTACTGTTATGACACCTAAATATGCTGAGACCTGGTCAGGTATCATGGTGAAAGGTAGCATCTCTAAACATGAAGACGTTCAGGAAAGCCAACTGCAGTGATTTTTGAGGTTTCTGAAGTGTCCGTTCTTCGTGGGTAGTTGTCTGGCCTTTAGGATAAGGGCTGAGATTTCACTGCTGCTATTATCTGTAGTAGGGAAGTCCTTTGGTGCTGTAGTAGAACATGTGGTTGTTGTGAAAGTGCTGTCAATCTGAGATTTATTTCTTTTTTTTTTTTAATGGCGGCAGGGGGAAGAAAGTGTCATGGGATACCAGTCCAAGGAAGACCGGCATTCATTAGCTTAGCTATTTACAAAATTACTTCGTTTTTATGGATGTATTGTGCTTGACTTGCAGAAATGAGTGTATGTAATTGGTAGCTCACCATTGAGATGAGTTGCATAACATGCTCTTAGTTAATGCATCTATCCTAAATTTATGTCAATACATTTTTTGGACTCCTCTGCCGTGTACTTTGTTATTTTCTGAAGGCTTGGCTAACGGACTATCAAGTCACTAACACTTGAATTTTTTAAATGCTGGGTACACTGGATTTTTTCTGTAATGTAACATGGAATGGTCTTGCCCTACGAATTCAAGACCCTGTCCTGGAATTTGGCTCCATCTCTGGGTAAGATTTTTACAATTAATGCTCAGATGTAAAGACAGCTTCTTGTGCTGTTAGGAATGCAATAATGTGTGTGTGATCAGCAAAGATAAATAGTAACACAGAAACCCAAGCAGTTCTATCACACTTGTTTTGAATGTGCAATTGATTAGATTGAGCAATAAGAAATATTTTGCAACTTGATTATTGCTAATTATACTTATAGTACTTTTGAGTAATTTGCAATCAATTTTGTGATATATTGAGAGAATAAAAATGAAAGTGTGAGATAGCAGTGACAGTGACTTTAGTAGCATGGGTACATGAGATTATTGTTGATTTTGGCTGCTAAAAGTGAATTTGCTTGAGGCAAAATGATCACTTTGCACTTCAGTAAACCCAAGATAAACACGTGGTACTGTGTTATAATTGCTCTTAGATCATGTTTTATGTGATACTCAAAGCCTTTTAAAAAGCCTGTCGTTAAGTCTCTGGACAAACTCTGCTACCTTAGGGAATCGGAGCCAGCTGTCAGCAAGGGGGAATGACTGTTCTAGCTCTGAAGGATCCCTAATGAAGGGAACGGCACAAACACCCCATTACTCTTCTGTGTGGAGAGGACTGGAATGGGAAATCGGCTTCAGTGAACTTGCTTGGAGAAAAAGAGAGAATGGACAGAATTCAATTTACAAGTAAAATAAAAAGGCAGTTTCTGAAGTGATCTCATTTCATGGCTTTTTTCAGAAATGTATTGAAGAAGCCATCTCTAGCTTAGAGTAATGTAGGTATTTCTGTACCATTTCAAGGTGCTGGAAGTACTGATGTGCACACTCAACCACAACTGAAAGTGTGGCTAGAATCCTAGAAAGAATTTTGGAAGCTGTTAGTATTTAAACAGATGCCTGTATGATGATCATTTACTTGTGTCTCAAGGGAAGTCAAAATTTCATCCAAATGCTTGATCACTATGTGAAAGCTGAGGCAAAGGCTGTAATGAGATTTATTAAGATGGATGAAACTATAGTGCCACTGAACTAATGTCTGCATAGATGTTACTAAGACCGGTCTGCTAGATTGGGATTTATCTATTCTCACTTTAGAGGTCCACATCTGACCTACTCATTCTGGTGTCCTTCTGTGGTGAAGGAAGGAACTGGGCAACTCTAGATGTTCAGTTCAGATGTAGAGCTTTAAAGTTAAGCAAGATGAATCTTACGCTGTGTACCTTTTGGCTCATTAGAGCCTTCATCAAACGTTCTTAAGTCCTTGTCAATACATGAAGAGCAAGCATGTTGGATCTTGCTTCTACTGCCTAGGTTGACATAGTAACAGGAGAGAGCTTAAATCTATCTGGAGAGAGTTTGTTAACATAACAAGTCAGTGTTGCATTTTTCCAGCCATGTTTACTGAACAAAATGCTCTCGAAACCCCCACAGAACGCTGTTCTCAACCAGTGGCTGTGGAGTTGAGCCAGGCTGGCCTTTCCTCATCCCAGCTGGGATGCAGTGGGACAACTATTTAATGGTAAATAGTAAATGGGATTTAGCAGAGGGTGGAATGAGCTGAGACACAACTACTGCATCCCCAAACTGAAGTGTTCTCAGCTGACGACTTGTAACTTCTTTTGCCTCCTGAATTGCAGCTAAAGGAGTTGGAGCAGGAGAAATAACCTTTCTTCAGGGAGAGGGGTGAGGGGGGAAAGAAAAGATAATGATATCAAATATACTCTTTTGTGTGACCTCCTTACTCTGAAGCATGTGTTTGTGATGCGTCTGGGTTGGGACTTCCACTAAGATGCTGGATTGTAATAAAAGTGGTGGGTGATAGAGTGAGAAATGAAATGCCTCCTCTTTGTTTTATCAAACAGGTGCAGTGCCATACCTACACTGGATACTGCTGGTGTGTGACACCTGATGGCAAGCCTATTAGCGGCTCTTCTGTACAGAACAAAACTCCTGTATGTTCAGGTACTGTGGGAGTGACTTCAACAAATACTAATTTGATAACCAAAGGGGGTTGGGGAGAATGCATCCTGTTCAGAGTGCTTAATCTTTTCAGGTGACTTGGCTAGTTTACCCGATTTAACACTGCAGTTGTGCTTGTATCTCCCTGTGTGCTTGCTGGCATTTGGAAGCTGCAAGGGAGCTCGGACTGTGGCATGTCCACCCAGCAGTTAGGGTACAGACACTCCTGCAAGGCTCACTGAGAAAAAACACAAAGGTAACAGCCTGTGGTAGCTAAAGCAAGAGTCACAGTGTTTCTGTGTACCTCAAAACCAGAGATTCCTGTAACAGATGGGATAACTTGAGTGGGCCATGGAGTCATTTTGCCTGCAGAGTGACTTCAGTTAAAAGTTTGATAAGGTGGTTCTGTGAGAAACTGGTAGTTGTTGACTACTCATCCCCAAATCTGGGGTCCTGCTGTTACAATGGATTTGGGTCTTCTGATCATGTTGCTCAGTTCCAGGATCCCCATGTTTGTGTCATGGGGCTGGACAGCACTGGGCTTGCGCCACAGCTCACAAGAGGGAGGTCCAGAGCCAGGCTGTTACTCATGGGTTTATTAAGTGATGTGCTTCTGGGTGCTCAGCCTGACACTGCTCTGTCGCCCTATGGTTTACTGGGCCCAAATCCATCGCTTTCTGTACTTAAAACAGAGTGATGTTGTTTGGTTTTTTTTCTCCCCACCATACAATATGGCAGCCCACGGCTCAAATGGGATGTGGCTGGGCTCTAGATTTTCATATGGCCCTTCAGTGTTTGCCCTTTAGATGCAAGCATGACAGCAGTCAAACTTTTGGGTTTTTTTAATCCTTCTCACGTTATTCAGTGTCCTCTTGGCTGTAGAGTGTTTTGTGGTAATAAGCATAGTGACTTGCATGAGGGTTTGAATTGAGTGGGAGAACTGTCTGGGAACCAGTGAGTCAGTGTAGCCTGAGGGGATGCTCGGTGTTTCACAGGTACGTGGAAAGAAAATAAGATTAATATCCTGTTTTTGTGTAAGGTGAAATGCTACAGTAATTTGGCTTAAACCTTAGAATATTACTTTCTTCTACCATTCCCAGTATATGGTTGGTAGGGCATGTTTTAGAGTTTTGCTGATCTGTTCATTTAGTGTTGAGCTGTTTATAAAATTGTAGGAGAGTAAATTCATGGTGTATTGTAGGACACACAGATGTTAGGCCTATGACGACTAATATTGGATATGTGCTTCCTCCTTGTAATTCAGCAGTAGATCTGTGATGAACTGATCTGCAAGTGAAAGTGCCTGGCAATAGAATTTACATTTAGAGTTTGTCTTTACCAGACTCCTGGGCCTGCCAGAGCTGCCTCCTTTGGAGCTGACTTTTGATCCATGTTTCCTGAAGGATCAGTAATCACTGGAACTGTTTAGTAATGGTGCACGGAAGAATCAGTTTCCTGGGAATAAAGCTATTTGGAAGGAAGAGGGGGGAGGGGGGGAAGCTTGTAATAGATTTTTATACAGTTTGGTAATGGATTTGTTCAAAAAGCTTTTATTATCAGTTCAAGTTTTAGTGGAAAACTGTGTGATGAAGCACTAAAGCAAACTGCAGAAACAAGTGTAGAATCTTACATATTATGTGAAGATCTAAGTTATATTAAAAACCCCAAGATGTGTTCTATTCAAGTACATGCTGGATCTTATTCAGTGTCCCTTTTCAAACAGCTGGGGATGTTCAGGGGTTGGTTGAAATCCATTTTCTGCAAATTGTCCCACTTAATCCCTTTCCTTTAGAATACTGCCCCTTGCATTCCCTGCACACTCTCCCCACCTGTTTTTGATTTGTTCTTCCTGACATTTGCAAACGAAAAAAGTGACTCTTACTGATCTTTCCTTCTTGCCCTTGGATTTATTCCAGGTTTCTTACTAGCACACTGCTCTGAGCTCTTTCAAATCACTGGATCCAGCTACTAAAGATTTCTTGTTTACCCTCATCCTGATTGAACATCTTAATGCATAAAACTTCCTTATGCTATCCCAGTTGGTTGAAGCCACAGGCTCTCTGAATCCTAAACTGAGCTGTTGGCAAGTAAAACAGACACTTTGTGGGTTGAGATATTGACTGTGTTAATGTGACATTACATGTTCTGTGTGATTATGCAGCATCTAAATAGATGTCTTTTTTTCTTTCTTTTTCCTCCCCTTTAGGTTCTGTAACTGATAAACCATCAAGCCAGGGTAATTCGGGAAGGAAAGGTGAGTGGAGTCCTGTGCTTCAGCAACTTGTTTTGTAATAGCAGCTGCCCAGCCAAGTCCCTTGGGATAACTCAGAATCTGGGTTTCTAACCGGCTCGGTGTGCGGGAGTTTAGACCTTCCCCTTCAGTACGAGGAGTAAGATGACAGTCTGTTCATGCACCACCCTGTGGAGCAGAAAATGGTGTGCTCTGCTCTGTGCTTGTCAGCTGAGACGTAGTACGTGAAAGCAGAGCTTTCCAAAGGGGCGGCTGGCACAGAATAACCTCTGCTTGTTCACTTTGAAGTTAACTACTGAGCATTTCTCAGTAAAATCCCTAGAGATTAGGAAGGCTATCAATATGATTAGTACACTGGGAGTCAGGAGTGCCAATGTCGTGGTTGTGGCTTTATATGCATTGAAAGGTGGGTTTTTTAACAGAGCATAAAACCCTCTGGCCAGCTGGAGCAGCACTGGATTAAACCCTGGCTGTGCTTGGAAACCTCACTTGTGCATTAGGCATTGGTCCTCCTTCTTTACGCTCCTTTCTTCAGTCCTTGCCTTTCCTGAGCAAGGCACTAGATGTGTCGCTGTTCTCCTCCTCCTGTGTGTATTCGTAGCCCTTCTCTGTGTCCTCTGATTTGCTTTCATTGAAATAGTCTAGGGAGGGGTGACCCTTCTCCCCTCTGCCCCTATTCAGAGTCAACTTTTGAGTTTGTCTCCTTACTACAGGAAAACAGTGCTGAATGTATCCTCACTCCTGCTGGTGAGGATGAAGGCTGTTTCCTGGGAGAAGTTCCTGTTTTGGTATATCTAAAGCAGGATTTTTACTGCTAACTCTCTAAACCAGTTATTCCTGACACTTCAAAATGCAGGAAAATGCCTACCTTGGCGCCACCACTTTAATTTGAAGAACATCTTCCATGCTGGGACTGTCAATCCAGTCCTGAAAACACTTAACAGGAATTACAGGTTGCATGTCCAGAGCAGTAATACATTTTGAGCATATCTGCTCTCCAGTCTATTGGTTGTGTATAGTAGCTTAGGAAAAGGTAGGGAGAAGAAAGATGCAAGGAAAACTACTTAGTTAAGACTGAATGCTGAAGCCTGCTTCTTATTTTAGGTAAGGATTTGTCTCTGTAAACCTGTAATTACGTGTTAATGTACAATTGGCACCTGAATGCATTGTTATCATTCTGTTAATGCAATCATTGCTAGTCTAGCCTGAAGTACAAGCAAATCAAGTAGCTCTTGAAATCTGCATTATTTTTGAGTGGGGATTGTTTGTAGGCTTCCTACCTGAGTAGTCCTGGTCTGTTCTTCTAGAATTGGAAGCAGCTGACATTGGGTTTCATAAGAAACAGGAGCAGAAGGGGAAAACATCTGAACTTGTTTTTCCCACTTCACTCCCTTTATTAACTCAGAGGTTGGAACATACAAAAAGAGAACTGTAAATGGAATTAATTAATCTAAAATTTGTAATATAAATTGATTCTCCTTGGTGCTGCCTGTGGCATCCTGTTTCAAGAATGGTACACTTGGTCACGTGGCTGCAGAAACATCCTATGCAGTAGCTGTCAAGAAAAGAAAAATGTTTCCCTTTGGGCCAGCATGCTTCAAGCAATCATGTAAACTTTCTGTGCCCTCCAATTCTGAATCTGTTCGTATCTGTTGGAAGCTCCCGCGCAAGCCACTTTGGCCTTTCTCCATCATGTTAGAAAAATACTTGTGAGCAATTATTAAATAGGTCTTTTAAAATCAAGAGGGCTTTTAGAAGCTGAAGTAATTTGGTTTAAAATTTGATGGACTTAGTATTACTTTTTCAGCTAGTGATGAATGCCTAATCTAAAAATGAATTTGGCCTTCTTATTAGTGTTTTTTCTTGACTTAAGTTACCTTGATTCAAAATTCCAGTATTGGGTCCTGTTGTAAGGAAGTTGGAACCAAGAACAGCCTGGCTTCCTTGAAGCAAGGTGGTTGCTGGAGGTCTGGCTTCTCTGAAGACTGGTGGCTAGCCAGCATGCATATAACCATTCATTCTAGCTGAGTGTTCAGACTCTTTCTGCAAAGACTGCTCTTTGCAAGAAGACAAAAAGGGCAGGATGAGGAGGGGTCTAGCAGGAACTGGGACAGTGATGACCTTTCTGTCGTAGAGGCACATCTTGGAAACTTCTGACATCACTTTGGGCAACTGCCATCTGACTCGGGAGCTTTGGACTTTTCCCACTGCACAGCAGACTCCTCTCTCCATCCCTGGATGAGGGTCTCTGAGTCAAAGAGCATTATCTGGCACAGAATAGGTGCTCTCAGGAGGAAAAGGAATAGCTAAGACTCTCAAAAGTGATTTCTTCTGTCCCATTCATACAGGAATGTAAAATATGGAGCTAATAAACTTTGTATGATGCTGGTGCCTTTCAAGTCTTCAGGGCAAAATAGTTTTTTGGATAGAGGCTGCTCTGCCTTAGAAACAGTGGAGATGGGTAGGCTTAAACTATTGGATAATAAATGAAAAGGAAGACTTCACTAGCATATTAGCTCTCCTTTAGAAGAGACAAGTTAATGTTGGAAGGAGAAAAAGGCTGGTTATCAGTAATAACCCTCTTTCTCCAAATGTTTTGGCCTCTTTTCCATCCTGTTTAGTCCTAACTTCTGGGGGTCAATAGGTATGATGGAGTCACCATAAGATGTGAGGTAACATGCGATACCACTCACAGGTGCTCTCACTGCTGATGAAAAGAAAATGAAATGGCTTTATGGTCACATGGCTTGACATGTAGTTCCAGAAGTGGCTCTATGGAGCTTTCTGCAAGAAATCCTTTTTATTTTTAAATCCCATGCTCTGGTTGCCCATGTTTACATTGGCATTGCATCATACAGCAATAGCAGTTACTCGTACAATTTGCCCTGTAAGGTAATTTAAATCAAATTAAATTGGCACCAAACTTAAAACTTTAAAATAGAACGTATTGATTTGTTCTGCGTCTGAGAAGTGCTCTGTTGCTGGAAGGCAGAGCAGACCTGGGCCTGGGGAGATGGAGGCATGTTTGTATGAGGTGGAATGGAAACCCAGGTTCTCCAGGACATGCTTGGTGCTTGGACTTTTTAGCTCAGACATTTACCACTGTTCTTTCTATGCCGAATTCAGCCTGCAAGTGAAGAACAAGTTTCCAAGATCTTTGTCAGGGAATGCAGTTATTCTTGGGTGGGATTAGGATATGCAGAACCTGCAGATTTCTGTTGCTGTCTGTTCCTTATTCTGGCTTGTTCCTTGTACAATCCTTTTTCTTAAGGAGCTTCTTGCACTAATTTATTCCAGTTGCTGCTTAGTTTGAAAGGCCTGAGAGACTTGGAAGATGCACGCTGTCCCCTAGAGGGCTGGATCTCCCCCCTCTCTCCCACTGGGAGGTTGTTAATGTTTTAAGAAGCAGTGAAAGGCATCCTTGGAGCCAACATGACTGGATTTCTTCCCTGCCTAAAGAATGCAGAACATTCCTTTCCAGGCAAAGGGAAATTGTGCCACACGTTTGAAACAAAACAAGCAAACACGAAACAAAACAAAACTTTATTTTCTTTATCTGAGGAATGCTGGGGCTTTAGGAGCTCAAAGCTACAAATTTAGCATATTGCAGCCATGAGTAGTGTCTTTTGCAGTCACCAGGCAGGTTTTAAAAAGTAGGCTGGTCAGGAGACAGAGGGATGTAAAAAGCAGCCACGTCATTGCTTACGTCCATAAGGTCACTTGGTCTTCCTTTTTAAAACTGGAAAGTGCATGAATTAGAAGTGGGGAGATTGGAAATGAGTGAAGGGCGGGGGGGGAATCTAAGTGAGGATACTGGTTTGTTAGTGGTTGTTAACTGTTCTGGACACTGTGAGACGTGTTGATACCATTTTAAAATCAACTGAATGAAGAAAATGGGAAAGGAGGCTTGGTTCTATAATCTGGGATTAAAACATGATGCAAGTACAGGGTAAATATGGGCTGGATAAACTGTCAGTGCCAGTCATGAAGAGTCTTGAGTGGTATGAACTCTTTTTCTTTCATAAAGTCTCTTGCAGTGCATAAAGTTCCAGGCCTGTTTTGACTTGCTTTGTTTCCCTATTGCAAAAGCTGGCAGTAGCATCTGCAACTCCCTGAATCTGGGGCAGGTGCGGTGATGTTGGTGACATGTAAGCTCTGATGGCCCCACAGAAGGCAAAGCCTGGGTTGAGCTCATTTTACACTTACTATCTTACATGTAGACATGACTCTTGTATGGAGTTGTGAAAAGCTTTGCCCAATGAGTTTGCAGCCTACAAGAAGACACTGAAGCAGTTTGAGGAACCTAAGATGAACAACTCAAAATTCCTGTCAATTAAACATCTAGAATTGGGTTCCTTTTTTGTGGGTTTAACTGCAAGAAATGGGCTTAAAGGCAGGCTTCTTTGCAGGGAAATTCTCCGCTGCAATTGTGGGCAAGTTGGCCCATTCCGTGGCGCTCTTCCTGCTGGTTTCCAATAGTCTTCCCTCTAGAAAATGTTAATGGCCTAGCTGTGCAGCCAGTAGACTGAGCAATTTGAATCAGTAATGAGCCATTAGTCTGAGTCAGTAATTAGACTGAGCAGTAAAGGGTGAACGCTCTCCTCAGGCAAACCCAAGTGGAGGACGGCTTGTGCTGATGTAAATAAATGGAACTGTTTGTACATGGAAACCTGGAAGCTTTGTCTGCTGGTGGTAAGAAGTCAGGTGCAGCTGGCACAAATTCATCTGCTGTTGGCTTACAGGGAGGGGAGCACGCTGCCTCCACGGTGGTTAGCATCTCAGAAGACAGGTAATATCTTGACAAAATCGTCAAGTTGAAATGTGACCCAAACCTGAGACTGGGACTTTGGTCTTTACCTTCTCCAGTTCTTTCTGGATTCAACCGGGTACTGATCAAATCTGAAACAGAGCTGTGCTATTACACAAACCAAGCTTCAAGTGCCCGATTATTCCTGCCACTCCAATATTATAAATACTGAGAAAATGCTTTGTGATGTCTTTAG